GAGCTCTCTTGCTCCCTCTTATGGTGATTTTACAACCGCACCCAAAATACTTGGTTTACAGTTTAAAGTGATACATACACTTAAACTCACTAACATAGTTTTTATATATTATTTTACTCAAACTAAGTTAGGTAAACAATGTTATCCCTAACACTTATGCATGACCTTTGGAGGGCTCAGGGTTGAGGGCTTTTGTCTTCTACAAAATAATGCAATAAGAGTCGGAAGGGACCTTGGAGGTCATCTAGCCCAACCCCCTGCTCAAGCAGGAGACCCTCTACTGTTCCAGACAAAGGGTTGTCCGATCTCTTCTTAAAACCATCCAATGTTGGAGCATTCATAATTTCTGGAGGCAAATCAATTATCCCACTGATTAATTGCCCGTAAATTGTTAGCAAATTTCTCCTTAATTCTAGGTTGGATCTCTCCTTAATTTGTTTCCATCTGTTGCTTCTTGTTCTATCTTCAGGTACCTTCTACCTTTGGAAAATACTTTGACCACCCCCCCACCCCCCACTTCTTTGTGTCAGGCCCTTAGAAACTGGGATTGGAGGTCCCTGCCAAGACAAGGGATCGATCGTACAGACACGTGAGAACAATTAATCGGTGGATCAGCCTGGCTCCTGGAGTCGTGAGTTGATCGTGGAGGTTTTCAGCAAAGAAGCATTTTTCTGGGATGGAAGATCCAGAAAAATGCTTCTTTCCTGAAAACTTCCTTCCTTGGCTGGGGAGGGGAGGGGTTGGACTAGAAGACCTCCAAGGACCCTTCCATCCCTAGGAATCTACAACTTCTATGTTTCACGGGTCTATTTGAAATTGGACAACCATTTGTCTGGCATAACAGAATATCGGATGGCATAAGGACTCCTGCTTTGACCAGGAGGTTTTGTGCGTGTTGCATGTGCTATAATTTGAGAAGAGAAGGACCGGGGTGTGTGTGTGTGTGTGACACGATAGCAGTGTCCCAATATCTCAGAGGCTATCACAAAGAGGGGGGGGGGGGAACCAATTTTCCAAAGCCCCTGAAGGCAGGAGAAGAAACAATGGATGGAAACTCATCAAGGAGAGAAGCAACCTGGAACGAAGGAGAAACTTTCTAACAGGGAGGACAATTAACCAGTGGAACTGCTTGCCACTAGAAGTTGTGGGTTCTCCATCCCTGGGTTTGTTTTTTTAAAAAGAAGAGACTGGACGGCCACTTGTCTGAAATGGTATAGGGTCTCCTGCTTGAGCGGAGGGATGGACTAGAAGACCTCCAAGGTCCCTTCCAGCTCTATTCTGGTTGATTGAGATGAGCAATTTGTCGGCTCATCTCAGGGGTCAACGGCTTCCACGTTTCAAGAGGGGCTAAAGTAAACCCACCACCTCCAAGGTGGACTACAACTCCCATCATGGCTATGCTGGGTGAGCTACGTTGGGAGGCGTAGTCTGACTCCTTAGGTAGGGAATCTCTGTTCTAGAATGTTCCCCCATTGTTCTTCTCGTTTTCCTTGGTTGAGTCCATTGGGCTTGTTGGGGATCTCGTGTTCTTCTTAAAAAAGAAACCCATTTCTGGACCTCCCCACTTCCCTGGCTGCTTCCTGCTCCTGAAATACCCATTATTTTCTTCATTGCTCTGTTTTCTGGGTTTTTTCCCCCTATTTGTCCTGAGTCTTCCCTTCTTTTGCAGCCTTGGACCGAGCTCAGGGTCTCTGGAGATCTTGGAGAGTCAACCTCGGGCTGAAGACCCTTCAGCTTCCTGCTTCCTTCTGGACAACCATGTCTGCCTGGCCTCCGTCCTGGCTCCTCGCCCTCTGCTCCATGGTGCTGCTGGCCTCCCTCGGGTCAGCCCACCAACCCCCCAACATTGTCCTGATTTTTGCGGATGACCTGGGCTTTGGAGACCTGGCCAGCTATGGACACCCCACCTCGGCCACCCCCAACCTGGACAAGATGGCTGCCGAGGGCCTGCGCTTCACGGACTTCTACAGCAGCAGCCCAGTCTGCAGCCCTTCCAGGTAGGGTGGTCTTCTGATGGTCACCTCAGAAGAGTCTGAGGCCCCCCTTTTGTCAAGAAAGCTTCAAGGCCGTCCATGAAGTAGACTCTTGACCTCAAAGCCCAAAGGAAAGAGAAGAGGCATCAAGAGAGGGGCTGGAGCTCTTGAGATGCCCTCTGAGTCCAAGGTGGACCTCTTGAGATGCCCTCTGTGTCCAAGGTGGACCT